ACCGGTAACAAACACACACACACACACACACACACACACACACACAATCTCTGGGCTCTGAGAGAATCCAAGGATTCCAGGTGTTTACACAGGTTCAGTTTTCTCAAGATGAAGGTCAATGGGGACCATGGTGTCTTTAGGATAAAAAGGTAAAGGTAAAGGGACCCCTGACCGTCAAGTCCAGTCACGAACAATTCTGGGGTTGCGGTGCTCATCTCGCTTTACTGGCTGAGGGACAGTTTTTCCAGGTCATGTGGCCAGCAGGACTAAGCCACTTCCGGCGAAACCAGAGCAGCACATGGAAACGCCGTTTACCTTCCCGCCAGAGCGGTACCTATTTATCTACTTGCACTTTGACGTGCTTTCGAACTGCTAGGTGGGCAGGAGCTGGGACTGAGCAGTGGGAGCTCACCCCGTTGCGGGGATTCGAACCGCCGACCTTCCGATCGTCTTTAGGATAGATGGCTTTAATTACATATACAGTGGTACCTCGGGTTAAGAACTTAATTCGTTCTGGAGGTCCGTTCTTAACCTGAAACTGTTCTTAACCTGAGGTACCACTTTAGCTAATGGGGCCTCCCGCTGCCACCACACCACCGCTGCACAATTTCTGTTCTCATCCTGAAGCAAAGTTCTTAACCTGAAGCACTATTTCTGGGTGAGCGGAGTCTGTAACCTGAAGTGTTTGTAACCCGAGGTGTTTGTAACCTGAGGTACCACCGCATATACAACCTGAGAGTCGAATGGAGTGGCTCACATCACTGACACCCCAAAATATCTTGCTTCTCCGTTAGTCACAGCTTTGGATCCAGCACAGAGCAAGCATGTCTCTGTGTCTCCAGCTTCCAGTCTGCTCCCAGCTCAGCTTTGGCATAACACTCTGGCTATTGTTTACCTAAGTAGCACTTAGGGGGAAGGCCCACCCAATTGTTTCGTGATGTTTATCTAGTCATCCAAAACCATTACCTAGACAAAGGGACTGGTTTGGCAAGCTTGCTCTCATACACCCTACCCCCACAGAGACAGAATTCCAATAACTGTAAGGGGCATCATGCAGACTGACCCCACTCCCAGCTCAAAACAATATAACTTTATTCTATTGCATTGCTATGGTATGCCTTTCGAGACAGACGGACGCCAACAACAACAAAGTTTACCATTGATTTATTTATTTCATTTGAAAACCCAAAAGTGGTTTACCACACACACCCATAAACGTATCAATAAAAAATATTTCCAACCATAATTTAAAACTTTTTTTAAAAAAAAATCAAAATCAGCAATAAAGTGAAAATGGTCGCAAGCTCACATCCACTCTCTAAATATCTGGATGGGCTTGTCTAAAGAAAAATGTCTTTTTTAAATAATAATTTTTACTAATTTTAACATATAAATTATAATACCACAAAACTTCATCATTTATACAATCTTTTTTGGACTTCCCCCAGCCCCTCTGATGATTCACTGTTTTAACCACTTCTTATGCATTTCTTAAATTCTTATTACCTTTAATTATCATAACTAATCCTCCTCCCCCTTATCTATTTTTGCAATAATTCCAGTAATACTCCTCAGAAAACTTCTTGCAAGCCTACAAACGTAGTCTGGTCATCACAAATACTTTTCAGATAATCTGTAAATTTACTCCAGTCTTCTGTGAATTTCTGGTCCCGCCGATTTCAAATCCTTCCTGTTAGTTTGTCCAGTTCTGCATAGTTCATTAATTTCACCTTCCATTCTTCTTTTGTCGGTAATTCTTCTTGCTTCCATTTTTGGGCCACGTCTAAAGAAAAATGTCTTAAGCAGGCACTGAAAAAACAGTAAAGCGAAGGCGCCTGCACGATGTCAACAGGCAGGGAGTTCCAAAGATGTAGGTTCTTCCATTGCAGAATAGGCTTTATGCAGTAGCTATCCCAGTGCCATTTCCATTGAGTCCATTTCCCAGGTCATAGCATCCCTCTCCCTCTGCCACTAGGAGGACAGTCTGATCCTAAGTCTGGACAAAGGTCCTGGGGCTTCCTTCTTATTTTATAATTACAAATCTTTGCTACAATTCTTGCAAGAATATGTGTTGATCATTAGCGTGCATTTCACAGCAGGCAATATTTGTGATAATTTTTTCTACTGCTGCCTTTTTTTGTGTGTAATTTGTTATGTGCCAAACTTTTCCACACAGCTCCCTGAGGGATCGGCTTCCTGCCCTTTCGCCAGTTTATTTGCTATAATAGTTTTAGCACCTGGCGACAGGTTTCCAAGAATTTTCTAGGTTTCTTTTTACAAGTTTTCTTTTATTATTTAACAAGATGACCTGCTACACAGGCATAAATTTATTCCCTGCTATGATTTCCCAAATGACTTTAGTACCAAATTCTAATAGCTTTTTAATAACTTTACGGAGCCTTTAGATATGCAAGAAACTAGTGTCTTTAGCCCGATCCCTTCCAGCATCTTCTCCTGGTGGTATTGTTATGAGTCTGGCAGTCTCAATTAGCATAAATTACCATGGGTGGAATTCCATGTTTCACTAAGGCAAACGTTCCATCAGCTCAAGCATTTCTGCTCACCAGATGGAATTATCTATCTACTCCTTCGCCCATGCACTGTTCTGGAGGTTCTCCCAACCCCCTAGAACCAATTTGAGGGGGTCAAGGGGGTCAGCGAGGGGGAGAAAGCCCCACTGTGCTAGCAGGACTCATTGTGCTGGCTCCTGCTAGCTGTCCAGCTGAATCATTTCACTCTGGTTTCCCTTACATGTTGCCTGATGCAAATCAGAACAATATCGTTCCCTGGTGGCTGGAACTCTCTTTACTTCCATTGGAATGTGTTAAGTTGTGGGTGAACATATCAGATGACACAGCGATTGTTCAAACAGCTCTTGTTTATTCACAGGCCCAGAACAGAACTGGGCTGAAGGGTTCAGCCAACCTGCTTATATAGAGCTCCACTACAAAGCAACAGTAACAACTTTCTGTAACTATCCAATCACTGAATGTCACTTTCAATTCCTTATTTGCATATGTGGACCTGAGTGAAAACTATCTACAGTATCTCCCTGCTGGTCCAGGGTGAGAACTTCAGTACATAACAAAATGGGATACCCAACAAAGTTTAGAAGAGGGAAACAGCTAGAAAGAGCTGCAGTCTGAATTGAGACAGAGACTGAGGGTGTGGAAGTGAGTGAGCTAAGAGTTTAGCTGGAGTGAAAGCAGTCTAGAAGGCAGGAAAGGTCCATACTATCACTTTAGGATATCTGTTGTAGGCAATGCCCACAACCGGAGTCATTTTGCTTCATTTGTCTCTGTGCTTATATTTGGTATAGAAGACAAACATTTTTTTATTTCAATTTGTATTATTTATAGCCTGCTTTAAAAAAAAAATCATTTACCCAAAGTGGCTTACAAACCAAAATCCTGCAAAATCACCAAGCTGTATCCAACATTAAGCCAATGTGAAGCAGATGCAAGTTTTCCTCCCACAGCCAGAACTCACTAGAACTCAGTTCTGGCACCTCTCAGGTGGGCGCCATTATAAGAGAACACGGGAGGCGTTCAAGATGAGATCCAGCACCTCTTTTTCGAGAAAAATAGCACTGCCTGTAGATGCACTGAAATGAATGGATGTCCATTCATTTCAGTGGGTCTACGCTGAGTAGGAGTAAAGCTGGATAGAACCCAAGGAATCCATTTGTGCCAATAAAGTCAGGCAACTTTTTTTGTGGTAGACAGAAATTGTCATGTGCAGAAGGTTCAAAATGGGTGTCACCATCGGCGTAGTCAGGGGAGGCTTTATGTTGTGGGGGGGGGTAGAACCTAGCTGTTAGTTAAGTATTTTTATTTATTTATTTGATTTAGTGGGGCAGCTGCCCCTCCCTGCCCCCCCGGCTACGCCCATGGGGGCCACGATGTGTAGATCAGTTATGGGAGACCTTCACTCCCTGCCTACCTCTTAAATAGAACTAATTGTGGAATAGATCTGTTTGCCTGTGTGTGAGGGTGTGGGGGAAACAAGGTCATCCACATGCTATTTTTAATTTGTGTGTGTGTGTGTGTGTGTGTGTGTTTTCTCCTATACCATGTACTAACATAGAACAAATCAGTCAATCAATATAAACAAAAGTATGTATAATCAGTGCTTTTTTTCTAAAAAATATGTTTAGGGGTACTCCCATTTTCCTACTCATATTGAAATACTGCCCCTCAATGAGGCCAAACCTGGATTCACAAAATGTTTAGGGGTATGCGTACCCCTGCACCACCCCCCGAAAAAAAAGCACTGCATATAATACTAGTGAAATTTTCTGTCTAGTAAATGTTCACCAGCCACTATATTTGAAAGGTTCTACTGTGCCATAGGGATACAGGTGGCGCTGTGGGTTAAACCACAGAGCCTAGGGCTTGCTGATCGCAAGGTCGGTGGTTCAAATCCCCACAATGGGATGAGCTTCCATTGCTTGGTCCCTGCTCCTGCCAACCTAGCAGTTTGAAAGCACATCAAAGTGCAAGTAGATAAATAGGTACAGCTCTGGTGGGAAGGTAAACGGCATTTCTGTGCACTGCTCTGGTTCGCCAGAAGTGGCTTAGTCATGCTGGCCACATGACCCGGAAGCTGTACGCCGGCTCCCTCGGCCAATAAAGCGAGATGAGCACCACAACCCCAGAGTCATCCGCGACTGGACCTAATGGTCAGGGGTCCCTTTACTTTTACCTTACTGTGCCATAGGACCGCTGGAAGTTGCCTTGTACCAAGTCCAAAGGAAGTTTTAGGGTAGCATAGATGGTTCATCCTCACCGGGCGCCACGCCACGGGGGTACCACAAAAGTTGTAGAATGGAGCACGCAATAGGCCACCAAATATTAGTGTCGCACAGGGCACCACTGAAATTTTAGAGCCCTAAGTCTGCCACTGCGGTACACTGTGGTACAAAGGGTTCAGCCAGGTCAGTACTGTCTAATTGGCTAGCAGTTGCTCTATAGGGTTTTAGACAAGGAGTCTCTCCTATCCCTATCTGGAGATACCGAGGATTGAACCGGCGACCTTCCTCATGCAAGGCAGATGCTCTAGCCACTGAGCTATGGCCCTGCCCATCCGTGAGCCTGAGCTGCCTGCTCAACCACTTAGGCGTGTCTTCTTCCATTTCCCCTGCTCTGGTTTCCATAGCCCAAGCCCTGCTCTCAATCACAACAAACCGTTGTGCCGAATGCTATTAAAATGACACAAGACGTTGCTCGACGATAAATTAATGCATCAAAACTCTGAAACAGATAATTAACTCGATCACAACGGAGTAAGCAATAAACTATTAGTGGTGCAATAATATCACATCCATCACAACTTGTCATCTCTCCAATTGCAGGGTGTAATTTCCATCAGCTTCACTGGGATAAGGGCCCCCCGCCTCCATGTGCAAAATTACCTTCGATATTGAAAAGGCCCGAGGCAGGTGAATAATATGCAATTAAAAAAAGCTAAAAGCTGCTCTTCGTGCATTCTCATTAGAGGTCCCATCCTGTTCCCTTTGGAGACAGAAGCTCTGCTCAAGTCATAGAATCAGAGGGTTGTCGAGTTGGAAGGAATCACTGCTAAAGAATCCCTGACAGATGACCACCCAGCCTTTGCTTCAAAACCGCCAGTGGAGGAGAGTCCACCACTTTCTGAGGGAGTCCATTCCACAGTCAAACAGCTCTTAGCATCAGAATGCTCCAACTAATGTTTAATGGTTCGGGTCACTGGAGCAGCAAAAAACATGCTTGCTCCATCTTCCATGTGACAGCGCTTCAAATATTTGAGGATGGCTATATCTTCTCTCAGCCGAGAGCTAGCCCACCCATGAGGCAAGGTGAGGTGTCTGCCTCAGGCAGCAACATCCACCGGGACAGCAGATCCCAATATTGATCTTTCTTCCCCTCTTGCTTCTGATGTAGATCTTCCCTCATTCCTTCTTCCCTGGCAGGAAGTGGGGTGTCATTGTGGGGTCCACTTCAGGTGCTAAAATGTCTTGGACCAGTCCTGTCTCGGTCTCCTCCTTTCCGGACACTGAGGTCCAGCACCGAGGGGCTTCTGGTGGTTCCCTCGCTGTGAGAAGCCCAAGTTACAGGGAACCAGGCAGAAGGCCTTCTCGGTATTGGCACCCGCCCTGTGGAATGGCCTCCCACCAGATGTCAAAGAGAAAAGCAACTACCAAACTTTTAGAAGACATCTGAAGGCAGCCCTGTTTAGGGAAGCTTTTAATGTTTAATAGGTTATTGTATTTTAGTGTTCCGTTGGAAGCCACCCAGAGTGGCTGGGGAAACCAGATGGGAGGCGCATAAATAATAAATTATTATTATTATATTATTATTATTTTTCTAGGCTAAACATACCCAACTTTTACATATATACAGTGGTGCTTTGGTTCTCGAACTTAATCCATTCCAGGAGTCCGTTTGACTCCCAAAACCATTCAAAAACCAAGACGCGGCTTCCAATTGGAGATAGGAACTTCTTGCACTCAAGTGGAAGCCACATCGGACATTCGGCTTCTAAAAAACGTTTGCAAACCGGAACAGTTACTTCCGGGTTTGTGGCATTCAGGAGCCAATTTGTTCGAAAGCCAAGTCGTTTGAGAACCAAAGTACCACTGTAAAGTTAATTCCCTTTAACATTTATTTTTCACTAGTGGCCTCATACCAGGTGTTGTTTGGGAATTCTAAGAAACTAAAAAGATCAGTGCAGTTTTGAAATAAATCTGTGACTGAAATTAGTGCACCTTTGACTGAGTCTGCCCATCCTCTTGATTCAAAATGGCGTCCAATTGTATCCAGCCAAAGACGAAAATCTTATCCTCGATCTCAGGAACCATCATGCAAAATTTGGGCACGATCACTTAAAGAGATGTCCAAATGCCTGGCGAACAAAACAGCTTTCCAAAATATATAGTAGATGATTAAGTACTTTGTAAAAACAGCAGATGGTAGGCGCCATTTTCCCCTCGCAGACAGAAAGGAGCGCCTCATTTAAGATGGGGCCTGCAGTGACACAGACACACAACTTCTCAGCGCAGCCGACGTCTCCCCTCCCAAACTGCTGTTTTGCTCTTACGCAAATATATGCAAACGTTAAGCGATTAATGGGTTCAACACGATGAATCTGTTAAGATTTCCCTGAGCTGGGTGACAGCGCTGCTTTTAAAATAACGGCAATAATAGTAATAATGAGTGTGAGCAGGATTTTTTTTAAAAAGAGTCGGGACTGGAAACGTTTAAAATAAACAAATCTATTTGGTAGCCGTCTTTGAAGATGGCTTGAATGAAGATGCAGAATTCTGCAAGGAATTTTGCGGCAGTGCTATAGGGAAGGTGGGGGGAAAAATCCCCCAACCCACTAACTCGCGCCACTTGGCTGCCTGTGCTGGGGACGTTAATTGACAGACAGTTCACCAAAGGTCCGCCTGCTGTCCTCAGAACTGCGATAATTAATGCTCCTGATTGCCACTTCCTGGGCTGAGTGTGAAGATGCTCCATTATGGAAAGGAACAGCATTTAGCCCCCTCCTCTGCACACTTTCGCAATTGGCAAAACAGAAGTATTAATTGAGCTAAAGGACGAGGTGCATTAGCGAGCTGATTACGCATTCAACAGGCTTTGCCACAACATGGCGCAAATGGCTTTTCGCATTAAGGTTTATCGCCCAAAACAAAACAAAACAAAACCCACACCAACGACACCCCGCAATGTTTCAGGGGGACGATGAGAGTGAAAATGTGTTCCCGAGACTGCCTTGTGGGCAAAACAGAGCCGGGAAGAGATGGGGCTGCAAACTCCCTGGACGTATAGATCATAGGAGACGAGCCAGGGTTGCAAATGATGATGCAGGCAATGGAGAATAAAAGGAAAGATGAGGCTTGTGTTCTTAAACAGCCAAGATAACAGTATTGGGGCTCTGCCTGTAGGTGGTGCTGTTGTGCAGTGCATGGCCTTGCTAGCGGTTCCCCTGGCCATAATGTGCTATGGGAGGAGGAAAAACTGCCACTGCTTTTGCCATGAGAGAGGAAGGGAGGGGGGTGGACTCAGTCCACACACGTTTTTAAAGCTCACAATACAGGGTCCTCATCAAACTCACTAGCAATTTACTTTTATTATTTCCTCGCAGGTCCCTGGAACCAAAGGATGATGCACACACTAAGTGTTTAAGAGGAGGGCAATTATTTCACATTAGCCAGATTCACAGAGTATAGACACAGAAAATAAGCATCCACTGATTATCCCGAATGTGGCATTTGTAACATTTTTCAAATGCAGTAATTAGACCTATTCTAGAAAATTAGTTTTGGTTGCACTTTGTCAAAGCCTCATTCATCATCCACTACTTATTATATACCACGCTATTGCCCAAAAGGTTATATTTCGTGTTACAGACTGGATGTTCAAAATATGCACGTGGAACATTTGTGCCTGGGAGGGCAACAGAGAGGATGCTTTTCATAACAGGATGGCATAATAGAATCGTAGGGTCGGACGGAATCCCAAAGGTCATCCAGCCCAACCCCGAGCAACGTAGGAATCAGAATTCCTGACAGATGACCATCCAACCTCCACATAAGAACCTCCAATGAAGGAGAGTCCACCACCTTCCAAGGGAGTCTGTCAAACACCAATTACCATCAAAACATTCTTCATAATGTACACATGGAATTTCCTTTCTTTTAATTCGAATCCATTGGTTTGGGGTTCCTACCCTCCGGAGCAGCAGAAAACAAGCTTGCTCTGTCTTTCACGATCTCTCCATCTTCTTGAGAAGCTGGCGCCTCTGCCAAGGGCATTGCATCCCTTTCCCTACTACATATTTTCAAGAAAAGTTTGGAGAAGCATTTGGGAAGGGACACCAAGAGGATGAAATGCTTCAGGGCTGCAGGTAAGCGAGATGAGCTGCATTCCCATGTTTCGACTGCATCCCCCCCCCTTCTAAAAAATACTGCATTCCCCTGCATGTTTGCTGAACTCCTCAGCCTACAAGATGGTCCACCATCTTTGGAACCTTTTCTGAGCACATGCCTGGGAATTAAACTGACACATGTACGGTGCTTTGCAAATTACAAGGGGATATATTATCTCCATGCCACTTTCTGCAATAACTCCCTAAGGACACAAATCAAGAAAACAGCAAGGGACGCAGCCTGAGACCACAGCCGTTTGTCAAAGCAACAGTTTTAGTTTTTCGCTGTGCAGAGGAAGCAGGATCGGGCTGAGGTGAACTAACAGTGAAGCAGCTTGGTCCGCAGCAGCTTAATATCCATTTGCTCTTTTGACAGCTATAACGCTTGCTATCTATTTCCCATCATCAGCCATCATCCCCAGTCCCGGGCTCTTGATGGCAAAAAAGAAAAAAAAAGAAGCCCTCAAGTGCTGGTCTGCATCCAGATGTCCCCAGACCCTTAGTGTGTGTTCACAGACTCTGGCTTGGGAAGGTGGGCCAATCGTAGTAGGCCCCCCACACAAGGAATGCCCTACCCCTGTGGCTCTTTCAGTCTTGCTGCAAATGTGAGAGGAAAAATAACCTTCTTGCCACCTTCCTGCTCCCCCCTCCAGCTGGTACAGTGGTACCTCAGGTTACATACGCTTCAGGTTACATACGCTTCAGGTTACAGACTCCACTAACCCAGAAATAGTGCTTCAGGTTAAGAACTTTGCTTCGGGATGAGAACAGAAATCATGCTCCGGCGGCGCAGCGGCAGCAGCAGGAGGTCCCATTAGCTAAAGTGGTGCTTCAGGTTAAGAACAGTTTCAGGTTAAGTACGGACCACCGGAATGAATTAAGTACTTAACCTGAGGTACCACTGTATTTGAAAGCAGAATGATGCTTCAGTTAAGCAGGACTGGCCCTACCATTAGGCAAAGTGAGACAGCAGCCTCAGGCAGCAGGAGATGGAGGGCAAGGGGCAGTGGATAGGCCCTGGAGGTCAGGACTGGGCACTCTGCAGTCTGTCCCATGACCCTTAAGTATGATTCTCTTTTTTTTACCCTGTATTTTTTACTTTTCTTGAGTAAGAAGAGCCTTCCTAGATTTATCCAAAGGCCTATCTAGTCCAGCATCCTGGTCT